TCATTCTTTTTCTTTCTGCCAACCTTTACTAATTCATCATTAACATGATTAGTTTCCCAGAATTCATGGAAGTCTAAGAAAATAGTCAATTGTATCTAGATCATTATGTTGCACCATGGCTCTACGATTTGTGAGATTCTATGATAATTTTCAATGGTCATTAATCACCCTTTCTCTTCTTTAATGCGACAATGAATCGGCACAATATATCACTGCATATTCACGTTAATAATCTTGATACACTAGATTTATGGAGAGAATATCAAATCCAAGTGTGTTAATTTTATGTCAATAATTAAAACCAACTACCAAAAATATTTAGTTAATAAACTTATATATTAACTTACATTTTGATAATATCTTGATATGTATGTCCTAAATAGCAACATGATTGTTTCTCTCATCTTCATTTCCACTTATTACAACTCATTCTCCATTTGCACGTTTGTGATTTCACTGCAAATATACTCTCAAACCTCTATAGGATATGATTGGTTTAATAAAAATGGGGAAGAGAGAATTAGGTGAAACAGAAATAAGGGTGACAATGAATTTTATTTAAGGGATTTTTTTTATCCACCATTGTCTTTTTAAAGGTTTCTGGTGAAATTCTCATGATACTTTCTGAACTCGAATATATATATATATATCTGAACGAATCAAACATTTCAATTAAAGAGTTTATACAGAAATGCATATCTAAAATAATTTAATATTTCATTTTTAGAGGACTTTTGAATATGCATATCCGAATAAATCTTTTAATTGAAATACATGGCATTTTCGGAGATGAATGTCCGAATCGTGTTAATATACACAAAATAAAGAAACAAAATATGTATTTCCCATTTTCATATATATATTTCAATTATCTCTATTCCAACTCTAACTCTCTTTTTGTTGCAATCTTTGAGCAACACTTTCAACTCATTTCAAGAACAAACTATATCTTCAAGAAGTAATGCATATTTTCAATCTATTTCAATAACACTTCAAAATTTCAAATACATTGTTCTACTTTACAAATGTAAAATATGTTATTTAGAATCATGTAAATTGAGTTGGTTGAAGTAACACTTGTGAAACATGATTATTTGAGTGTAAAATTAAGTTTCTGGGTGATTTAGGGCAAGAAGCTTCAACTGGTTCGTAAATAGTTGTCGTAGGTTTTTTCGGATATGCATATCCAAAAACCCCTGAGTGGTTTCGGATATGCACATCTGAAATATAGCCTGATTTTTTTTTAGTTTTTCAAATTGTTCAAACTTGTTCCTTCATTGAGTAATTGCTATTTTTTCCAGGGTAATGGCTGAGAACCCGAACATCAGATTGAAGCTTGGTAGAACAAGTCAAACTGTCTCCGCTCGTCATGAGATGGCTGAGAAGACTACTAGGAATCGAGGACGATGTCGAATATCGCGGGAGAATCCACTTCAGCTCCAAGGAGTCACCTGTCTCATGTGTCCTCGTCTCGAGATAATGAGCAGGTACCCGAGGAGGTTGATGTTCAGTCACAGGAACCCGAGGAGGTTGATGTTACTTGCAGCAATGGGGCAATAAAATGCAGCGTATCCAGGTGGACCCTCTGACACCTCCATATTGATCTATTATACTGATCATATCGCTCCACATATTTGAAATAGAGAGGTATATATTTTATTACATTTTTTCATTTAATGATTTACGCCCAAATATCTTAACGACTAACATTGAAATTAATTTTTTTAACAGAAACGTCGCCCCATAAAGTCCGTAAGCCATACGCGAAAATTATTTAAGCTACATTATCTTAGACATGATTGGTTTAGGAGGTTGTTCTTGGATCCAGACTTGTCAGATTTTGTTGTTCCGATTACGGTATTATTAGCCATGACATGCAATGGAACATTTGCCGAAAGATGACACAAGGATACGTCATCTTTCCATTTTCCTGTTAGAGAGATGATGATCACACTTGACGATGTCGCGTGTCTGCTACACCTTTCTATCAGAGAGAGATTACTTAACCACTCTCGAATTACTTTAGTGAAACGATTGAATGGATGATCGAGTATTTGAGAGCTCAATTAAAAAAACATTTGAATAGCGTGACTCAATTAATGGAACTCATGCCAAGCTCTCATTTCTGGGTGACCTGTATGGCGAGCACCTGGATTCTACGGAGAGTGTGGGCAATTATTTATTTGTTCAATACCATCGCGAGTGTGCGTTGCAATGTTATTTTTTCTTAGTTGACACATCTGTTTTTGTCGACAAAAGTGCAATCTACGTGGATGTGACATTTCTTAAATACTTCATGGATCAAGATACAGTTGGGAGTGAAATCGGGGGTTGGTTATTTGTTATATTTGTATGAAAAGTTGAATGAAGCTGCTAAGTAAAGAACGAGGCAATTAACAGGCTCTTGCATACTGCTCACAGTATCTTTCATTCTAACTATTACATTTTCTAATTGTTATTTTTTTCACATATGTCTTATTCATTTTCAACCATTTCTCACTTTCATCGCATTCCTGGTTTCGATTATGAACCGGATTATACTGAGGACATGCTGAAAGCTTCCAGGTATAAACTCCATAGAGGGAATCATGTTGTGCCACCGTTCCAGATGTATCTTGATCAGACTGTTCATGATGACATCATTTGGACGCTTTTTGAAGATCACAGGGAGGTTGTTCCATTCGAACTCATCTCATTATACTCAGGATGGTTGGCATGTGGGATCAACACTATGGTCAAGTATCTTCCGGAGCGATGCATCCGACAATTTGACTATATACAAACCATACTCAAATCTCTGTTTCAGACTGCTCCTGACATTATTGTCTGTCGGAAACTCGATGACATCTTCTAGAATTGAGAGAATCATATGATACCAGAGGAGACTTAGATGATGCAGGCATCCATCAATTGGCATTGTATAGAGGAATATATCACATGATTCTACACAATGTCACACCCTATCATGACACTGGATGCTTCTGGACGTCCATCTAAACCAACTCATAAGGAGATCTTAGAGAATCAACACGCCCATGATGATCATGCCATTAATGTCTTTCGATTTGTCAGTGGATACAGTTGGTTGGGCAGGAGACTTTAGACTTAGAGATTATTGAGAGAGGAGGTCCTGAGGCTATGGCCATCGTAGAGAGGATGGTTAGGAAGGCATCTCTTACAACGAATTACAGAAGGCAGGGGAAGGGTCAGGAGGTTAAGATTAAACGTACACAATAGACTATGCCCTTCTTTTATTTACCGATCTATTTATTTTATATTTTATACTTTCTAAACAATTTATGTACTACTTTTTGGTATTTATGAACAATTTATGTTTGTATCATTTTCGATCTTTAATATTTCGGTATTATTTAAACGAATTACGTATAAAATAGTTCATTTATTAGGTACCACATCAATATTTAAAAAAAAAAATAGCATTCTACTCAGAGTTTCGGAGATGCATATTCGAATGAACCCTTAAATTCATTTTCAGAAGTTTTTCGAATATGCATATCTGAAAACACCCACTGAATATTTATTAATGTGTAAACAGAGGATTTTCGAATCTACATATCTAAAACTCACATGAAAATAAATTTAAGAGTTCGTTCATATATGTATATCCGAATAATATTTTGAAATTTTCAGAGATATTTTTTACCCATATAAAAGTGACTAAAAAAATCTCCTTCCATTCCTGGTAGAAGAATATATAAAAGACAAAAAGTGAAACCCTCCCCTTTTTATAATATCTTCAAATAAGAGAAAATGACCCAAAAAAAAGTAATTTTATGCCCCTATTTCTATTGATTCAACATTTTTTAGTTTCTCTTTTCCATTTCTATTATCTTTTCCTTATACTAAACAATACTTAAAAAACATTTATTTCAATTTTTTTTCAATTTTTTTTTTCTCTTTTCAACCTCTCTTTTACATATTTTTCTCTTCTCATTTTCTCTTCACAATCAACTCAAACATTATAATTGGTTGTGGTAGCAAAGCAAAAACAAAACAAATTATTCTCACAACCTTCCCCTTCCTTTGGATATTAGTCAAACCCCATACTTGTTTCAGTTGACTATCTGCCTTCTAAAACCTAAAGGTACTGTTAAATTATAAAATTTATTTTCTCACCAAACAATTAGATAGTAAACTTTACTGAATTTATAATTGAACACGATACAGGGTAAAAAAAAGCCTTAAAAGTGTATAAGATTGAAAGGAGCTGAAAGATAGTGGTATACATGGTGACGTTGAAATAACACAATTTTAAGTGCACTCTTACATTTTGCAGTAAAAGGTCAAAGATATAAACATATAAATGCATGAGGGTGTTTCTTTACACGTGAACGCTATTCTCTCATCTTAAGTTGTTTCATAGATCCAATCAAATAGTCTCACAAATAAATGGTTATGCGGACAAATAAGTTCAAATAAGCTTTATCATTTAAGAAGTTATATATTAATCTAAGTTCAAATAAGCCTTATCATTTAAGAATATATATTAACCTATGTAAATTGACGCAAATTAGACATTATTGAAATTCAGGACCAATTGAAGGACGGATCTTCCTTTCACTAATGCATTGATGATCTCCCCCTCTACATGATTGCCTTCATGTGCAAGCACCATGTTTAAAAGAGAAATCTCTCAACAAGAGTATAGTATAGAAGTTGCACAGGATAAAATAAACACTTCATACACTACACATGAATGCAACTAAACAATTGCAAGCAGTATAGACAGCAGTAATATAAACCACTTAAGGAGTTACATAATAAGATGCACAAATCTCAGACAAAGGCATCACCTAACATTTTCAATGGCTTAATCTTTCCCATCAAGGCAAAAAAAATTACTACTAAAATTATCATATATACCTATGGAGAGGGAAAGAGAAAACACCCCTAAGAGGTAACATGAGAAATATCATGACACTGTTACTTATGGTGAAAGGGGCTCAAGTACTAGCCAAATTGACTACAACAATGGATAATTAATTTTGACCCTGCCTTCCTGGGTGGTATGCACCCCTACCATTGGAATCTGTCCTCACCCTCTCCCGAGCACGAGAAGAACCCACTTTGCCTTGGGACGAGCCCACGGGATGACTATGCTCCGATGAAGGGAGCAGCAAACCTCCCTGCCCAGCATGCTCAGCTTGTCTACTATGGCCTGCTCCTACAACACAGAAAAGATCAGATTAAAATGACTCACAAATGGTGTACTGCTATTTTGCAGAAAAAATGAAATTCAACAGACAAGGTATATTAGCACAGAACAATCTCAAAAATACTATACACGACTCTGTCCACACATTGAACTCTACAGTGGTTTTTCTGCCTTTTAATGTAAAAATATGAAAAACAGTGAGGCAGGAAATTTGAAAATAAACTTGGTAAAACAAATCTTATGAGTATTATTACTATCACTAATCATAGTTTATCATTCAACATACAATTAACTGCACTAACAGTTATCAGTTAAAATAACTGCAAACACAACAGGCATACTAAGCCATACCATTGAATGCATGGTACATCTCCACCACTGTTTCCTTGCTTCCAAATATTCAATAATAAAGAGCATGAGATAGGAATATCACACTAGTGAATTTTGTAGTTTTCTATACATCATAAAGAATACCATAACAAAATAATATTTCCAATAACATAATAATGAATTCACAACCATGGCCATCAGAACACAGCCTATGAGAAAGCCAATTCACTACATACACGCTATATGTGGAAACATACCACAGTGTGTGAGACTGCAAGTTAGAGTTAACATACAATAGATGTATGAAAATATGTGGTAGTTAATAGATAGAGAGGCTTAAAAGGGAATGTCATACTAAATCACAAAAACAGTGTTTTGAATGCGTCCATAAATACATTGTAACATGGGGGTCTTTCTTTTGCTAAACAGATTGTTGGCTGAAAATTTGCAAAACTGCATGGCATTTCGTGTCCTGACTTTCTGATTTTTGTAACATATAGCATAACTCCGTACAATTATTTTATTTTCTTGTATTTTAAGCATTAGAGTAAATTCGTATTTATAATAAATCGAATTTATCACTATCTTAGAAAATATGCTAATAACACAAACTTCATGGAAACTTTTGGCACGAATAAAGGTAAAATTATCAATAATACTTAATGAATTGTAGAGATATTTCTAGAAAGTAATCATCCACATCCACATTCCTCAAGTTATAAGTTACTCACCAATACTCCCCCTCCATCCAGGTAAATACTTTTGACCCTTTCCTTTCCATTCTTCTTCAAAGCCAGCAAGTTCGTCTGTGAAAAACGATGCAGAACTTTCAGTAATGCTGACATACAAGGGCATAGAACCTGTAGTAGTTAATGTATCAAACAACAAAAAACTAAGCATAAGCTAACAAACCTTCATCAATGTTGTGTAAAGTCTGCATAGTATCCACTTTACCATCTGGATTAAGCTTTCTCGAGAGGGTATGCCCCTATAAAATGTAAGAAAAAAGTCAAATAAATAAAATTAAGGACATGGTAAAAATCACTAGAGAAACACAGTGAATGGTATCCCAAGACCAAACCAGCCAAATATAATATTTCCACCGAAGAGGATACCTTGTCATGCAGGCCTCTAGAAACCCTGTGAGAAGCTTGCCTTGTGGAGCTATCAGCCTCCTTGCTCTCCTCAAGTGTCACCTAACACAGTGAAGATAGAATCAGAAAATAACATTATGAAAATCCTGGATTCAGTCTAGCTTTAAATCAGCATAAAAGCTTACTCCGTCACTTCCAGTCCTCCTGGACTTTGATGAAGTATAATATGTTCCATTTGGACCACCATAGCTGACTGTCGAGCTCTGAAAGGAGAAGCTGTGTGTTTGGGGCTGAAGCTCAGTTGCATGGAAACTGTTGAACTCATTTCTACCCTGCAAATGTCTGATCTTCTTCCCTGCAGCATGAAACCCCACCCCCAATAAATATTAGCATAAGAAATATGTAAACTACAGTTTTTTAGAGATAGAGCAAAAGCACGAGCACCCGACGGTTAATGCTAAACACACAATACCTTCATGTTCATCATCTGGATGTTCCACAGAGGGTTCAACGCTTGACCTTCTATGCCTTTTTGGATTTTCTTTCTTTTCTTCTGTCTCATCCTCATTTTCATCATCAGAATCCAATTGCTGAATGATTGGGCCCCTTCGACTATTAGGCTCCGGAGCACGAGCTTGATGCTCATGAAACACAGATGGATTCATGTCCGGGCCGAAAGGAAACCCAGATGACAGCATATTCGATGCAAAAGGAAAACCAGGCATCTGCATATTCTGCGCAAAAGGAAAATCAGGCCCCTGCATTTCCGGAGGAAAAGGAAAACCAGGCCGTTGCATTTCCTGAGGAAAAGGAAATCCAGATGGACCACTCATAATACTTGACTGGAACATCCCTCCGAAAGGGCTGGTGAAGAAAGGCTCATCAAATGGATCCCTTCCTCCAAACATACTTGACATCAAACTCCTAGAAGGTCCAAAGCCTCCAAAACCACGAAAGTCAGCTAAAGGATCTCTGCCACCAGGTCCACCGCGTCCTTGCATTCTGCTATTCAAATTCTCACTGTAGTAATCACTGAAAGTACAAAACTCATTTAATATAACATAATCACAACCGCAATAATGCATAAACCATACAAACAGTAAAACTAATGAACGATTCTGTTCAACACAATTTTAAAGAACAATTCAACATAAACAAGCCCTTGTAATCTTCCAAATAAGTTAGTTACATTTTGTGATTTCTTTTCAAAATATTAAATACTTCTAAGCGCAATATTCACGGTAGTTACAGGACGCATTTAAGATGACTAAATAGCACAGCAAATACTGTATAAACCATAAAATTTTAATAAATTAAACATAATTAGAAACTGACACAGCTAATAATTTTAAAAATTATTATTAATAAATAACCTAGTCAAAAGTATATGTGTCAGAGTCGTGTTTCTGGTGTTTCATAGCCATAAAAGAGTAACAACGGATCCAATCCAAACACAAATTTATAGAACAATTCAACATGAATAAACCCTACTTATAATCATCCAAATACGTTACGTTTTGATATGCCTTCAAAAACATTTAATACTTCTAAACTTCAGAAGCGAAATTTCCGTTTTAAACAACAACAACAGAATCATCATAGTTCATTGAACGATCTAAGCAAAACAGAACACATTCAGCAATAATCAAACACGGAATCGATAAACTAAACATCAATTGAACTAATTGAGTTAAACACAAAAATCGGCAAAAAAAATTCAATAAATCAGCACGAACTGAAAAACCAAAACGAGATCATCGAGATCGAAATTCGAAGCTCTAGTAAAAACGATTGAGAATTGAGAGAAAGATGAGTACCTCAGAAGCAATGGAAGAGAACGAAGCGAAAGCTCAGAGTAGTGATCAAGTAATTCGCTTTCACAATTCTTCAATTCTTTCTCGTAAGCATAGAACTTTCTAGGATCATATACTATATATGAAAATTTGATGGCCTTTGTTAATATAGTTCGAAATAACGAAATGGGCCCAACTATACACCGCCATTTGTTTATAAAGTTCAACTTTATCAATTAGGTGGTGTATATAACAATCTATTTAAAAGATAATAAATTTTGAATTTTATTTTATAAATAAATGTTGGTGCACAAAGAAGACATGAAAGACAAAAGAAATATACATAATATTAGGATATAATAAAATATTAAAATACCTTATAATAGACTTAGTCAACAAGACATTTCTAAAATATAAATTATTTTCAACGTCGTCCCTTAATTTATATTTACAGAAAATTGACAACAGCAATTTCATTCTTTAAATGAAGAAATTGATCAGTCTTGATAGTCTTTGTTAGAACATCTGTCAGTTGCTTCTGGATGCTACAGTGCACAAGTTCTAATATTCCACTCTGAACCTAATTCCTCAGAAAGTGATACTTGGTCTCAATATGCTTGCTTCTCCTGTACAGCACTGAGTTTTTGGCAATATTAATTGAAGACTTGTTATCAAGCATCAACTTCAGAAGCTTGTTTACCTCGGTCTTCAGATCCTACAGCAAGTTTAGAATCCACACAGCTTGGCATGCAGTCAGAGCGCTTGTAATATATTCAGCTTCACAGGTTGACAATGCAACCACCAGTTGCTTCTTGGAACACCAAGAAATAGGACCTCAGAAATTTGAATAAGTACTCAAAAGTACTTCTTTTATCAACTTTGTCTCCACACCAATCAGAGTCTGAATAACTCAAATTCTGATTCAATCTTTCTTCCAGAAGAAAATAACACTCCATACTTCAGAGTTCCTTTCACATACCTCAATCCTGACAGCAGTTTGATATTGAGATCACTTTGATTTACTCATAAATTTGTTAATCATTCCAACTGCATAGAAAATATCAGATATTACACAAATACCTCAACCAACCAACTGTTGAAGGTTGTAGCATCCACATCCTCTCCATCAGAATCAGAGTCCAACTTTTGATTCGTATCAGCAGGTGCGATAGTAGTTTTGTAATTCTCCATCTTAAATCTCTTCAGAAGCTCAAGTTCATACTTCATCTGATGCAAAATGATTCCTTTCTTAGAGTACATAAACTCCATCCCTAGAAAGTAACTCATTTTCCTAAGATTTGTCATCTCAAACTCATTCATCAGAATCTTCTTGAACTTAGCTATCTCTTGTTCAGAACTTCCTGAACTTAGCTATCTCTTGTTCAGAACTTCCTGTTAGCAATATGTCATCAACATATAAACATACCAGAATTATATTGCATTCTGAAGTATGTTGAACATAAACACCATACTCCATCTCACACTTCTGAAACCCTTATTCCTTGAAAATGAATCAATCTTCAGATTCCAGGCTTTGGGCGCTTTCTTCAATTCATACAAGGCTTTGTGTAATCTGGACACCATCCATTCCTGGTTCTTTTTCTTAAATACAGGAGGTTGTGACACGTATATCTCTTCTTGTAATGGATCATTTAGAAATGCAGGTTTCACATCTAAATGCATTAGAGGCCAATTCCTGTTAGCAGCTATTGTAATTGAAATTCTGGCAGCAGATACTCAATGTCACGGTGAATGTTATGACACCGTATCTGACTTTCTATAAGACAGTAAATCAAAAAGCAGTAAAGAACACAGTCAATTGTTTACCCAGTTCAGTGTGAAACAACACCTACTTTGGGGGCTACCAAGCCAGGGAGGAAATTCACTATAAGAGATATTAATTCAGGAATAAACCAACCAGTTTATCTCCTTCACTTAAGACCTACCCAATGCAACTTCAATCTAAGTTCAACTTAAACCTGAGTTCCTACTCACTCCCCCTCAATCACAGCAGTGATACTAAACAATTGACTAATGAAATTATGAAGACACTCTTCAAAACATACACTTGATTATGCTTCACAGCTTTTAATTAAGTAACACAAATACTCGTGCTTCAAAGCTTTGAGTGATACATAAACCTAACTTGACCTTGCTTCAAAGCTTTAATCAAGTGACACAAACACTCGTGCTTCAAAGCTTTGAGTGATACACAACCCTTACAATCAAAACCTACTCCAAGTCACTTATCACAATGATACTTGTTTGGATTACAGTAGTTAAAACTATACAGCCCCTTGTTGATCTTCTGTCAAAAAGTTGAGTTCACCAACAGCCTTCCTGTTGAATATATAGGCAGCTGTTCTTCAATTAGGGCTTCCACGAAATAGCTAGGGTTAATTAGGGTTAACCTCAAGACTTGGTCACAAGACTTTATCAACCATATTAGGGTTAAGCCAAGTTAACCTAAAGTCCACGTGAGATTCTGTTCTGGAATGTATGAACCATATTCCTGAAAAATCTCAGAATTAACAAAACTGCATAACTGTTAGATCAGTACAGGATGTCTTAACATTGGTTATGACAACAAGAATCTTGTTTACTGATTTTGGTAGAATGTAATAAATGTGATCATTGCATAATGATCAGCTACACACTCATAATGAGCAGCTACTGTATGCCATTCTTTTTCTGCAGAAAGTACCTAGTAACCCAGAATGTTATGACATCAGTCATGACATTCACACACCTGATTTTACCAAAAATACATGCCAATAACCAAACACTTACAAACTCCCCCTTTGGCAAATTTTTGGCTAAAACCCCTAAACAATCAGAGATTAGAGAGTAGCAGAAATAATATGTCTGCAGAAAAAATAATGTCTACCAAGTATAATTAACATAAAATCTTCTCCCCCTCTTTAGCCATAAATAGGCCAAAGATACATGTACTTTTAGGTTATACAGTCATCCAAAATGAATAATAAAAACAAAAAAATCTGAAATCACTTGCAGCAACAGGTACCAGCAGCAAGCTTGACAACTCCACTGATCTTCAAGCACTGTCATCTTCAGAGGAGGCACTATCTTCAGCATTAAGCTGATCTTCAGCAGCATCTTATTCCCTTCTTTGTCCTTCAGTCTCCTCCTGTTCTAGTCTAGCAATTACGTTCTCAAGAGTCCTTTTCCTTGTCTCCAGCTCTTTGCAGGTTTCCTTCAGCACAGCTATAACATCAGATTTCTTGGACTGAGTTTTGACAGTTGATGTCTCAGCTGATGTCATGGCAATGTCAGGAACATGAGTTCCCTGAAATAGCTTATAGTGCAACCTAAGAGTAGGGGCTCTTTTGCATACAGTATCTTTTTCAACTAGAATGTCAGGATACTGAGCAAGGACAATACCACATAGGAGGGAGGGTAAGGCAATAAGGCCTTTAACAGCATAGCTTCCAGCATGTTTTAAAGTTTGATCAAAGATATACCTGCCATAGTCAAATTCTGTCCTGGTTCCAACAGCATAAATGAATCTTCCCAATCCTGTGGAGATGGTTGATTTATGTTTGGTGGGAACCCAGTTGGCTGCACCAATCTTGTGCAGGATGGCAAATTTCATGCTTAGCTTGCTTGCATTCAGCTTGCCTTTTAAGGGCCAGCTCTTGACTTGATTTGCAATGATGGTTTGGCATACTTGGTTGTCAGTAACCTCTAGTTCAGGGCAAGCCTCATCTAGTCTTCCTAGGAATTTGTTTATTTCAAAGGGAGAGAAATTTACCTTTCTTCCTCTCACATAGACACACTTAAAGTCAGCTGACCTTCCATCAGCACATCCATCAGATAAATTCACTATGAATTCTTTGACGAGATTTTCATAGCAGTTGGTAAACTTTATCACAGTATTCATTAGACCAACAGTTTTAATTAGGTCCATGATCTCCTTACATTCCATGGCACCATTGTTCAGTTCTCTTTCCAAGGCTATTCTTTTCAAACAAACATACTTCCATCTGTTAGCATTTTCAGGGTGGTGAAAAGAAATGTTGTCAGTGGGGACTTCAGGAACTTTAGCCATTTTTCTTGATGGGAGTTTCCTTCTGAGAGGAATGTCTTCAGCATCAACTTCAAATTCTGATTCCTCATCAGAATCAGAAGGTTCAGGCTCTTTCCTTTTCTTTGCTATTGGTTGTCTCACAGGCTTTGAGAGACTACCAACAGGTACTCGGGTTTTCACCTTCCCTTTGGACAATCCAGTCTTCACAGTTTCTACACCAGTCTTGTCTTCAGACCTGGTTTTCTTATGAACAACATCAACAGTCTTCTCTTTGGTCAGACATTTTGCAGCATCCTGCTTTCCTTTTCTGTTCATCATCCTTCTAGCTATGCTAGGGTTGATATTTGCAATTAGGTCATTATCAGAGTATTCTTCATCCACATCAATAACCGGGGGTTCAACATCCTTCTCTGAAGGTTTCTGGAGATCATCAAGATTTTCAGATGATTTCTGAATGTTGTCATCCGGTGTCTCAACATTCTTAGTGACATCTGGATTCATTTCAACATTTGGACTAGCAGATTCTTGATTTAAAGGAACAGAAATGCCAGGTACCGAGTGGTTCTCATTCAGAATTCTTGTAACAAGTCTAGCTATTGCTTGATGAATATAAGCTGAGCCTTCCCTATTTGCTATTTCTGAGGGAGCAGAAGATGATGGTTGAGAGGGATTACCAGATGAAGAAGCTTAAGACCTTCCTACATGCCTTGTTCTCAGCTTTTTAACCTTAGAGGGGTTAGCTGCCAGTTCTCTAAGAGGAGTAATCTCTAGAACATCAGAATCCATGCAGGTTGTGATTGCCCTAGGTTCTCGATCAGATGATGCGGAAGAAACAGTCGTCTTTGAAGAGGATGATGTCATGGATAGTTGAGACATTTTGAGAGTCTTAGAAAACCAGTAACAACGAGAGTGAAATCTTTGATTGAGAGAATGGAGATTGTTGCAGAGCCGAGAGAGGAAGGAGGTAAATGAGTGTCTATTCAACTTCTTAATAATTTTGAAAGAAATAGGGAAACATATGATTAACCCAATCAAAATAGACTTAACATAAAAATCTCCTTCATCCCTTGTTTTAAGCAAAATTAATTGCTACATTTCCTCATGTTGGCAAATACCCAACTTGCCCCTCAAATTTTCAAATTGATTTGCATCAAGTGCCTTGGTAAAAATGTCAGCCAGCTGTAGTTCAGTGGCAACATGTTCCAGTTTAATCGTCTTCTCCTCTACAAGATCTCTGATAAAGTGATGTCTAATGTCAATATGCTTGGTCCTGCTATGCTGAATAGGATTCTTGGAAATGTTGATTGTACTCAGATTGTCACAGTATAATGTCATAACATCTTGTGTGACATTATACTCAGTAAGCATCTGTTTCATCTAGATCATTTGAGAACAGCTACTACCAGTTGCTATGTATTCAGCTTCAGCAGTAGAGAGAGACACACAGTTCTGTTTCTTGCTGAACCAGGAGACCAGATTATTTCCTAAGAAGAAACATCCTCCAGAGGTGCTCTTTCTATCATCAGCACTTCCAGCCCAATCAGCATCACAGTAACCAGTCAGAGTTGGTTCAAAACCATGAGAGTACAGCAAGCCATAGTTGTAAGTTCCACTTACATACTTCAAAATTCTCTTCACTTGGTTGATATGACTGACTTTGGGATCAGCTTGGTATCTTTCACAAACTCCAACTACAAAGGC